AGCCTGGCTTGTGGTTGTGTTTTCGTCGTCACTCTGTTAGTACGTCATATGCTTCGTTGATCTGATTGGTTTATTTGGCCCGTCTATCACCAACATGGACCAATCAGCTAACCAGTATTTTCGCCCCTTCCCAAAATTAGTTCAACGGAAGGTTTCCAGATGGATATGCGGAGCAAATCCATCTGGCGGAGTCAGGTTACTAATACTCCATCGTATTTATAAGAGTCCTCTTAATGTGGAAATCTTTTATCCCCATTGATTGCATTCAGTGTTTATATCTTCCTACTAAATAAAAAGCAGTTTATTCATATTTAGTAGATTTTATAGAAAATAGCTTTCAGTGCGGCTAAAGCCTCAGGAATTTGTAACAGATTTGTTTTCTTCCCCTTGGCAGGAAATTGACAACTCATCCGGACGCTTCTTCATCAACAGCAAAGACAACTACACCGAGCTGCACATCGCCACCCTGGACATTAACCTGGACCCCGGCGAGTACATGTGCAATGCCTCCAACATTATTGGCAACAACAGTGAGACGTCTGTGCTGAGGGTGCGCAGCCTCTTGGCACCGTTGTGGCCTCTGCTGGGCGTTTTGGCTGAGATCATCATCCTGGTTATCATAATCGTTGTGTACGAGAAGCGCAAGAAGCCAGAAGATTTACAAGACGGTAAGTCAGCAGCTGTGATGCTTAAGTGTTTAGTCTGCATTTCAAGTGTATTTTGGAGGGTAACACTCTTTTTGCTCTTGTTAAATTTTAAACCCTTTTGTGTTATTCTCACTTTTTCCTATTTAGATTCCCTCCCACATAAGAAGGCAAGGCTCTCCTGAATGGTTTTGTTTTTGTAGTCATCTGCCTGAAACATTTCAGGAGTCACTTAACAATGTTCTGCACTTGCTGTCAATAATTCAGTCAGGTCAGGAAGACCCAATGAAGACAGTGTTGCAGAAGGCTGCAGCATGTCAGAACAGCTTCATCTATTTAATATTAATGGGCAAGCTGATCCTGCAGCCCTGCAGGTGTTTACTTTTTCAATTATTAATTTCTTTCCAGGGAAATTGTAGTTTTCTTTTTAAGCTTGTATAAACATGACCAGGACCCTGATGATCGTTGCAAAAACAATAGTAAAAAATTCTTAAAATGAGTGTTTTTACCCTTAATGTTAGTTGGTAAATAAGATGATTTGCCAGTGGAATCACAATTTTTGTTCTTAAAATAAAATAATTAGATATTATGCACTTGATATAAGACAATGTAAATGTTTTTTTCTTATTTTAAATGTAAATAATCTTGTTCCATTGGCAGAGTGTCTCACATACCTTCTCAATTCAAGAAAAAAATGCACTTATTTTAAGAAAAAATTTATTATCTAGATTAACATTTTTTGCAGTGGATGCTCACTCAATGGTGCCAACCTGTGACTCGCTGATATCAATAGCTTCTTTGTTATCGTTGTTTGAGGAACATTATAAATGCAACATGCAGTGAATTAATGCAGTGTCTCATCACTGCACAGAAACAAAACCTATTTAAGGCTAATGATAACAAACGCATAGCTGCGCAAGTTTTAAAAGGATTTCCACACTGACCTTTTTTGTTGTTTGTTTTCCAGGTCTGGTAAAGTATGTCAGAAGGAAAATGTTCTTTGAAGAAAGATTTAAGCTACCAGAGCATTACATGCCCATTAGCCCATCTGCGGCAGCCAGGGCTAACGTTAGCCCGTTTGCAGCAGCCAGGGCTAACATTAGTCCGACTACAGCAGCCAGGGCTAACGTTAGCCCATCTGCCAAACCTGGGGCTAATGGGGGCTGCCGCAGCTAGGGCTAACGTTAGTCCATTTGCAGCAGCCAAGGCTAACGTTAGCCCATCTGCGGCAGGCCAGGGCTAACATTAGCTCGTCTGCAGCGGCCAGGGCTAATCTTAGCCCACCTGCGGCGGCCAGGGCTAATGTTAGCCCATCTGCGGTGGCCAGGGTTAATGTTAGCCCGTCTGTGGCAGCCAGGGCTATTGTTAGCCCGTCTGCCTAAGCCGGGGCTAACGGGGCTGCCGCAGCCAGGGCTAATCTTAGCCCATCTACGGCAGCCAGAGCTAATCTTAGCCCATCTACGGCAGCCAGGGCTAATCTTAGCCCATCTATGGCGGCCAGGGCTAATGTTAGCCCGTCTGCGGTGGCCAGGGTTAACGTTAGCCCGTCTGTGGCGGCCAGGGCTATTGTTAGCCCGTCTGTGGCGGCCCACGCTAACGTTAGCCCGTCTGCGGCGTCCGGGGCTAACGTTAGCCCATCTGTGGCAGCCGGGGTTAACGTTAGCCCGTCTGCGGCGGCCGGGGCTAACGTTGGCAAAATGTTCATTTGATTTGTGTTTATCTGACTGTGTTCATCCTTATTCCCCCACTAAATGCAAAAAGTCTGAATTTATTATTATCTAAAGACTATTAATAACAGGAGGTGAAAAGCAGCTCCATGCGAGCTGAGCGTGTGGTGATGTCATCAGTACGCCTCTGTTCCAGTTGAGCCATATTTACACTTCATGCTCCCGTTCTCACCAAATCCACACTTTTCTGGGTTCTTCTCAAGAACACACTTGGCGAGAACACGAGTCCGTACTCGCGTTCTTGCGAATTGAGAAACGGCCAACAATTCGCTCTCCAACTATACACCTGTAACGGTCACCACTACTCTGCGAAGATTCTTATTTCAACCGTTGCGTATATTAGCTGCGACGTATGAATCAAGATGCTATGATCGAAAAGATTTGATTGACAGATGACCGTTGATATATGATTGGCCGAATTTAGGTGTTCAGGCTGACGTAGAACTAACTGGCCTGCAGAAGATTACAAAAAAAAAATTGATTTTAAGATGGGATTTTTATTTTTTTTTTTCTAACTTTTGGGACAATCTGGTCTGATAAAGAGAACATTTATATACATGTTTAAGCCAGAATGATTTGACATTTAAATATGATTTCCCTACGACTTTAAACACATAAATATACAATGAGCTATTTTTTTAACAGAATGTCAAACTCTGCTAGAAATTAAACACCAAAGAATGAAGATTACTGCTGAGTATAAAAGTCTTGATAGTCTCAGAGTTTTAGTTTAGATCTATGATCATCTAACAGGAACTGTTGCGTTACCCGAGTGCTCTTAGTGTAGGGAAGTAAACTTTAAAATCATACCTGAATTAAACAGGAAGCCAATGGAGAGTCAGAGGTGGAGACATGGGTTTGGGTTTTAGTACCAGGCTGGATTCTGGGCAGTTTGAAACTGAAGCACGGATAATCGTTCTAACACAACATAATAAGCATTACACTAATCCAACTGAGAGATTATAAAAGCATGAATCACTTCTTAAAGGTCTTTGGCCCAGAGGTATATTTTCCCCTTGGTTTAACTAATTTTAGTTGGAGAAATATTTATTTCACAACTATTTTGCATGTCCTAAAAAAGTTTAAAAACAATCCACTGTACTTTGTTTCCAAGGTCGAAGACGTTTCGCTTCCCATCCAGGAAAGTTTTTGAATTGTAAAAGTCAGAAATATCGTTGAGTTTGAAGCTTTATAAAGTGGACCAAGAACAAAGCCTCATTATGGCTTAGAAAACATGCAAGTTGAACCTGAAGAACGGGTCCGTCCGATTCAATTTGCATGTTTCTCTTGCATGTATGTCTGTTTAGGGAAAGGAGCAAGGAAAACGATGATGATGATGATGATGATGATGATGATGATGATGATGATGATGACAGATATAGTGTAACTTCTGCTTTCACAGGAACTTGATGTATTTAATTGCAGAACTGATCACTTATGTTTACTGTATGCTGTTCCTCCTTTTATGTCTCGTTCTAATAAGAATATCTATGTCGTCAACGGTACTGTTTTCAGTTCCTCAAACTTTCAGGATATAATTCCCCCCAATAGCTACTTTATTTTACTTTGACAATTATGACAACTTTATAAAAATAAAAGCATTGAAAGGGATGCAGGAGCATGAACGGCATGGGCAGTTCTAGACAGGAGCTAACGGGGGCCAGTGCCCCTATGGATCATGTCATGGCCGCCGTACCGAAGACAAAATACTAAAAGAAATTCTAAGGAGGATCTGCGCTGGAACAGAGATGGTTACTGATAGGTCCTTTGGATCTATTTCACTTTCTTTTTTATTTTTATTCTGTTTTACTAATTATTTTAAAACAATAAGGTAATAGTGTAAAGATGTTTTGAGATAGGAGCCAAGTTTACATCTTCTAAACATTTTCTCAAAACAATTTTTACAGCTGAATTTATCAGTTTTTCTTGATTTCTAATTCAGATTTTTTTTAGAAAATGGTAATTTTAGATAAAATTTAGTGAAAAATATGCAAAATTCCTAAATTATGAATGTATGTTGACCTAATATTCCGAATAATAGCTTTATTTGATCCTTTAGATATTCATATAGCTACAATTTTTGGAGTTTCTTTTTTTGCTGTGCTAAGGAATTTATGTTTTCATTTTAACAATAACCCAAATTAACATTTTCAAGCAAAAAATAAATATTTTCAGTTAGAAGACATATAATTTTAATTAAACCTAATTGAATGGAAATTTCACTTCATATCAGCTCTTAATGTATTTGAATCTGTTGCCCTTTTTTTTTTTTTTTTGCTTCATGCTTTTCTGTGCCCCCATGAAAACATGCTGAGGTACCCAATCACATCCAGTTGATGTAAAATGCCAGTGATCTCCTGCTGATTCTTAAATAACACACTCACCTGCCCTGCAGGTGTGCAGAAATAAGTGGGGAAGGGGCAGCAATTAAAAAAATTCTGCCACATTGAACCTCTTTTTGTTTTGTTTTCCCCCCTTTTCAAGTATCTAGACACGGTATGTGAAACTTATTTTTGCATCTGGCCATTTCACAATTCTCAAGTCTCTACTTTATGATATGATTTACATTTTTATAAGATATAAATGTGGCGTCTGACAGATTCAGCCTTTGTGTTTAACACATGTGCTGTAGTATCACTTTTTTAAACTGATACTTTGATTCCTTGAATGAGCTACAAAAAAACTCTTCGATCACAAAGTGTGCTTTAAATAATCTACAATAAATGAAGGATTCAGGCCGGATTAGGAGTTCAATGTAAAATAGATTTAGACGTAATTAAATAGCTCCTGATACTTAAAAAAAAAACTGTGAAATAGCCCTTTATCCAACCGGTGAATCTCAAATATATTTTTTTTCCGAATGTAAAATGTAAAATTTAAATAAAGAAAAATTTGAAATGGGGCTGAAACTAACGGTTATTTTGCAAATTAATTAATCTGTTGATTTTTCTGATTAATCAATTAATGATAGGATAGGAAAAGGTTAAAAAAAAGATGTTTTACTAAATTAAACCAGGTGAAACTAACTTTTCCACTTGAGGAAGTTATTTAAAAAAAAAAAAAAAAAAAAAAAAA